GATAAAGTGGGAAAACAGGCAAATACTCGTAGTCGTTCCAGTTCTTCTTCATGAGACTGAATAAACGACACGCTGTGGACGTATTTCTTTGTCTGCTCGTAGAATTTTAAAATTAAAGGTCTCCTTTGGACAAGCCTGGCTCAGAACAGATGAGGTTTTGAAAAGCCTTGAATCAGACGTTCACTGAGGGAAGAGCCACACGTGGTTCAACCCGCGGCTCCCCTCATGAACACCAACTTAGAAAGACATTCATGAAACCAAGTTTTTATATCTGCTACATATTTCCTGCCCCCCCCACTCTGTCAGGCTGCTGCAGAACTGATGAAGCGGGGGGTCGCAGGCTCTGATTGTTTCAAGGGTGAGAGAGGCAGACAGATGTAGAGAGAGAGGAGCGGTCTGGCTGTGAGGCAGGTGAGTGACAGGATATTTAGCTCTAAGGCAGCGACACTCGCTGCTAATTGACTGTAGCAGGGACTGAACCCAGTACTAATTGGAGCTCCTTCTGCAGGAAGCAGCTCGTCTGTGGTTGACAGGAACGCCACTCACACACGGCTCCATTTACAGGCTTTCCTCTGCTCTGTGTGTGTGTGTGTGAGGGAGAGTGTGTAGTAACTGTGTGTATCTAGCAGAGTGGAATGATGTGTGTACTTGTCTGGAGTAATACTCTGGGAGAGTTTTTCCTCTTAATCTGGAGTTAAAAATACGAGTCCTGCTGCAGACGCTGGATTAAATCTGGATTAACTCTGAAAACCATTAAAAATGTGTGAGGACTGGAGGGACTCAATCATTAAAATCACAACGCTGTGGACAGAGACTAACGCAGGACTCTGATGGGTTAATTTGATGAATCAAGTTCAGAATTAATAACTAATTAAAAAATAATTAATAACTAATAAAATAATTCAGACACCAGAGCTAATGTTAGCTACGACAGTCCTGGTACAGAGACCAGAGCTAACGTTAGCTACGACAGTCCTGGTACAGACACCAGCGCTAACGTTAGCTACGACAGTCCTGGTACAGACACCAGCGCTAACGTTAGCTACGACAGTCCTGGTACAGACACCAGCGCTAACGTTAGCTACGACAGTCCTGGTACAGACACCAGTGCTAACGTTAGCTACAACAGTCCTGGTACAGAGACCAGAGCTAACGTTAGCTACGACAGTCCTGGTACAGACACCAGCGCTAACGTTAGCTACGACAGTCCTGGTACAGACACCAGTGCTAACGTTAGCTACAACAGTCCTGGTACAGAGACCAGAGCTAACGTTAGCTACGACAGTCCTGGTACAGACACCAGCGCTAACGTTAGCTACGACAGTCCTGGTACAGACACCAGCGCTAACGTTAGCTACGACAGTCCTGGTACATACACCAGAGCTAACGTTAGCTACGACAGTCCTGGTACAGACACCAGTGCTAACGTTAGCTACAACAGTCCTGGTACGGTCACCAGAGCTAACGTTAGCTACAACAGTCCTGGTACAAACAATAGAGCTAACGTGGTCTCACCCGTGTGGTGTAGGCACCTTCCGGGTCGTCCTCCAGGACCCGGGACAGACCAAAATCGGAGACCTTACAGACCAGGTTACTGTTGACCAGGATGTTACGAGCTGCCAAATCACGGTGGACGTAGCCCATGTCGGACAGGTACCTGGAACCATCCAGACCAAGGAGAAGGTCAAACATTCAGCACCAACTGTGGATCAGTGACATGAAGAGTGTCTGTGGAATCGAACCTCATTCCAGAAGCGATGCCTCGCAGCATTCCCACCAGCTGAATGACCGTGAACTGACCGTCGTTCTTCTACAGGAAACGAAAAAGCACACGATACACAGAGAACGTCAGCACGTACAGTACATCAAAGGCTAAAGGCTAAAGGCTAGCTGACAAAATTAGCTAAAAGCTAGCTCAAAATCAACTATAAATATAAATATATCTAAATATATATAAATATATCTGTATATATCTAAATATATATAAATATATCTGTATATATCTAAATATATATAAATATATCTGTATATATCTAAATATATATAAATATATCTGTATATATCTAAATATATATAAATATATCTAAATATATTTAAATATATCTAAATATATATAAATATATCTAAATATATATAAATATATATCTAAATATATATAAATATATATAAATATATCTAAATATATATTTATATATATATCTAAATATATATATAAATATATATTTAAATATATCTAAATATATATCTAAATATATATATATATATCCTATCGCAGTAGTTGCATTTCAAGACCCGCTAAATACAAAATCTATGTTTATGTATACATACATATACATATATATTAATATATATACATATATATATATATATA